TCTGAGTAAACAGAAGCCCATAGACGCAATAATGATCACTTAGTACGCAACTTATTGTCAAATATTTCCTCAACTATCGAACATAGACGCTCTAACTTTTCCACAATGACTTGTATCAATTTGTCTTAACAGATGAGCATTCTTGCCTACACCTATTATCTTTATTCGAGAAAAACACCTTAATAAACAGTTATTTTTTATCACTTAGTACGGAGAAAAGTAAGACAAGCAGACAGAATCAAGAGAGGGAAAGTAAAGAAATAGGACTGGGACCTGCCAACAGTGCCCATCAACCACTCACGGGGGTTGTTTGCTTGAGCTTCTACATATTTGAGACATAATGCATTATCATCATCATCATTATCCAGGGCCAGATCTGCGACAGACATCTGCTGCGATCACGGTTCTCTAGTCATTCCTTTGCTCGGATGATCTTAAAAAAAGCTACGTTTCCCTGATCTTTCCCTGTCACTGTCACCCACTTGTTCAGGTTTCCCAAGCAAACTGAATTTTAAATAAGTGACGCCAAGATGAGCTTAATGCCATTTTGAAATTTTGAAGGGAGAGCATCGAACAAAATCATCATCATCATCATCATCATCATCATCATCATCATCATCATCATCATCATCATCATCATCATCATCATCATCATTATCATTATTATTATTATTATTATTATTATTATTATTATTATTATTATTATTATTATTATTATTATTATTATTATCATCATCATTATTGTTGTTGTTGTTGTTGTTGTTATTATTATTGTTATTAGATCTAGTATCATTATTATGATTATTTTTTATCACATCAATTAATGTCATTATTAATATTATCATTATAACCACTTTCATATTACTATGTTCAGCAACAGTCACATCTGGAAGAACGAAGCAAACCGTGTGCGTTTTGCCTAAGGGGTCACTTTTGTATGGACATACGGAGTGCGTTCTTCTGTGCTAACCAAAGGGTGCTTAATTCAGCGGCTTAACACCAAGCCTTAGAGGCTAATCTCGGGCACGGAGATTAACACACATTGTGCCGCATCAGAAATATACTGCCCCAGGCCACAAACGGTACTGCCTTTGAGCTGAGATACAGTGGGTGTGCACACAAAGAGAATTTTTTTCCAAGTCCAAAGGTTCGATACGCGTGCCATGGGATCATTCACCTTCTGAATCATATCACAGACAGAAGCTTTTCCATGCAGTTTGATCTCGAATGCAACGCGAAACGATTTTTTCATTCGATATATCGCAGAGTGTGCGTACTTTTCTATAAAGAAACAGCAAGTTGTCATATTATAGATCGTCAAATTGTCTTCCCGTGTAAGCTTTACATGCGCGAGCAGATTCGAAACAGACATGGACACCGATGATCCTTTAGAGAGAATTACGTGCCTGTTAAGACTATAATCATATCTTGTGTTTTTTAGTTTTAGTAAGTTTTTTACGGCACTTGCAACACATCATACAAGTGCCGAAGATTAGAGGTGTTATAGGAGAGTAACAAACATAAAAAAGAAGGAGGAGAGATAAGGACGATAGATGTTTGATAGAAAAGAAGAAGTGTGAAAATGAATTCGTGTGGCTTCTATGGGTGTGTCAGGGAATGTCTGTGTGTTATGTGACACAGAAGCAGAACGAGAAGAACACAAGCACTCCCCTTGGCATCAACAAACACATTAAAATCATTCTAGTAGTTTGTGAGTGCTGGTGTGTGTTCTTTGTTCGTGTTGTTCTTGTATTGTCTGTTTCTGGAGAACTGTGATAGTCAGCGTGCGAATTGGTCCCAATAATGTCTACTGACTTCATTTCTACAGGGATAAGACCAATGAATTACAGACCAGGTATACAGTTGGGGGGGGGGGGGGCAAGTTCTACCTGGGAACGAGATCTCGAGGCAGATCTCAACACATGGCATGATGTGGATCGGGCACAGCGTCTGGCAAGAGGTAGAGGAGCTCACCCAGAACAGAGACAGGTGGAGAGCCCTTCTTGGAGGCCTATGCCAAATAAATACCGGGGAGAAAGAGACAGATGATCAGGGCAAAACTGGACATTATCTTTTAGTTTAGTTAGTTTTAGTATTGGTTTTACCGCGCTCGCAACTGCATAAGGTCATATGAGCGCCAAGGGGTGGATGTCAACAGAGAAGTCCTTACAGGAAATCAGACTTACTCTTTCACCTCTCTAGCTTCAACAGCACAAAGTCTGCTTCGACTATCAAGGCACCCCGGAAATAGAGGGTCACAAGAGTGTGACAAACATACAAATGAAGTAGAGGAAAAATGACGATAGTAAGGATTAGGACAGAAAAAGCAACAGTTCCCTGTTGCAGTTCAGGCACAGTTATGAGCATGACATTGATGAATTAGCCCATTTACAATTAAAATTCTACTGTGCATAAGAACGAGATATGTCCCCCCTTTGGAAATGACCTAAAGACACTTCAGTCAGTGGCACCACCCAGGGGGGTTTTAGTTGTCTGAGCATAACGCCATATTTAATACGTTCTTGTACCGAGGTACGAAGCCGGAGATACTGCTATGTGCGGTGACGTTCTTGTAAAACTGTTAATGCCCCCCCCCCCCTTTGGGAATGGCCTAAAGACAGTTGAGTCACTGTCAGTAATACCGCCCCGGGGGTGGGACATTACCTTTACTTTTCTGATCACAGGTCTCTGCGGTATGACAGTGTATGTTAGATTCTCCTCTCAACACTGTAAGGTGACTCTTGAATGTAACATCATTCTCCAAAAGAGCAGCGTCAAGTAATCCATGATCAAGAACCTTTGTAGATAGATAGATAGATAGATAGATAGATAGATAGATAGATAGATAGATAGATAGATAGATAGATAGATAGATAGATAGATAGATAGATAGATA